GGAGAGGTCCTTCAGGAAGACTTCATTACAGAAAAAGCAGCTGAACAGAGACTGAGGGCAGTGAGAAAGAAAAGTCTTCAAAGATTCAGGGAGAGGAAACCACAAAGGCAAAAAGCTTGAGGTGGGGCCTTGCTTACCTTGTTTAAACAACAAGAAGGTGGCCAGGGAAAACTAGAATAAGATGAAAGAAAAGATAAGAGGAGGCCTGTAAGAATGTGGAATGTGGAGTTAGAAGAACTGGATTTCCAATTCCAGACCTGCCATTTAAAGGCTGTAGGGCATTGAGATGGTCACTCAACCTTCTTAACGCTCTTACGGAAACTGATAGTCTGAAATAATGACAGTAAAGAACTCAGGGTACTTGGCTTTGTGGAACCATGTGGCGATGAGCAAGGAGGCATGGTCACTATCTGCCAGGCCAGGGGCTCACAGCTGACGGAGTGTCCTCTCCACGCCAGTCAATCTGCTTTACACTCAAGTCTCCACTCCTCACTGTCATCACTACATAAACAGTCGTCACGGTGATTCTGACCCATGGCAACCCCAGGTGTGTTAGTCAAACTGTGCTCCATAGGACTTTCATTTGCTAATTCCTTGCAATTAGATGACCAGGATTTTTTTCCAAGGTGCCTCTGGGTGGGCTTGAACCTATGATCTTTCTGTTTTCAGCTGAGCTTGGTTAACTGTTTACACCACCCACGGACTCCTTTATCCTCACCCAAACCAAAAATCCAAACCCACTGCCACTGAGTTGATTCCAACTGATAGAAGCCCTGTAGAGGGTTTCTGAGATTATAAATCTTTATGGGATTAGACAGCCTCATCTTTTTATCCTGAAGAGCAGATGATGGGTTTGAACTGCCGACCTCGCAGTTAGCAGTGCAATGCCTAACCATAGCATCACCAGGACTCCTTTCTACTCCTCATGATGGTGGTGGTGGTGTGCTGTGGAGTTGGTTCCGACTCATAGCAGACCTGTATAGGGGTTTCCGAGGCTGTAAATCTTCACGGGAGCAGAAAGCCTCATCTTTCTTCCCGGAACTGCTGGTACTTTTGACCCTGAGATTAGCAGCTGCAATTCTGAAATAGTGACTTTCTCTTTGTGAGGAGCAAGTGAGACTCAAAGAGGCTGGACCAAGCCGTCAGCCAGCTGGCTAAGGTCTGACTCCAACGCTGGCAGGGGGTCACTGCACCACACTGTCTCACCTCCAAGCAGGTAGCCAGGAGTACACCTGGTATGAGGACAAAGTGCTGAGGGGTTCCAGAGAAGGGAGCTCCCACCTCTGCCTGGCTGTCTCATAGGGGAGGAAGTACTCCAGCCAGTTCTTAAGGGACTGGGCATCTGCCAGACCCAGGAGAAAAACAAAGGCATCTGAGGCAAGCAGATCTGCGTGGACCAAGTTGTGAAAGGGCATGTGGGTTCTGGGAGGTGAGCTCTGAGCTCAGAGACCCAGGTAGGACTCCAGGAGCTGGGAGACAGGTGGGAGTCAGTTAGGAGCAGATTGCCAAGGCCCTGCCCACAGGCCAAGAAGCCAGCAGGGGCCGGAAGAGTGAACACACCTGAGATCTTTGTTTTTGAGGAACAGGATGGAACAGGGAGTTCTTGATCTGTGCAATCAATACCTGGGGAAACACACTGGCTGACTTGTTGACTTGTAAAATGCCACCAGGTTCTAAGAAGAGGCACTCTTTACAATAATCTCAGGGCACTGGGCTGACCCTGCACCTGGCTCCAGGTCCCGCTCTCTCCTCCCCCAGGCCTTGATCATTACCCCTGGCAGAGTATCCATGTGGCCTGTTCTTGTCCCCTCCAGCACCAGAACATACCTTCCTCTTCATCATCCTCTCTTCCCTGGGCCCCCAGCAGGCAATGACACTCAGGGTCAGAAAGGCTGTGCCTGAGGAGGGGCAGCTAAAGCCTCTCCAAGTGGAGTGGGGGGGCCCTCAGGTCAATGGGTTGCCATGGTGACACCACAGACCCTGCCCCAGGGGTTGCTGGGTTCAAGGAAGGGGGCCCTGCCCTGCCTCCTAGGGGGAAGCCCCCACCCTACTCTAACTTTTATTCCTTTCCCTGACCCTCTCACCAAATATTGATTGAGCACCCACTGTTGGCAGCTCTGAAGAGTAAGTGATGAACACAGCAGACAAGCTCTTTTGCTTTCATGGAGCTTTATTTTCCATGATGTTGTTGTTGTTACTAAGGGCCATCCAGAAGGTTCCAACTCATAGCAGCCTGGGTCAGATTTCCAAGGAGCGGCTGGCGAGTTTGAACCACCAACCTTGCGGTTGAAACTGACCATGCAGTCGGATGCTTATCCTACAGCGTCACAACAGGACTCCGTCCCTGATGTGAAGTGACGTCGAGTCGGTTCCGACCCATAGCAACCCTGAACAGGGTTTCCGAGGCTGTAAATCTTTACGGGAGCAGAAAGCCTCATCTTTCTCCCGCGGAGCAGCTGGTAGTTTCGAACTGCTG